ATAGCATGCCTAAGGAGAGTCATCTCAAGAGAAAACATTCTCTCAGGCTTTCAGAGAGAGCAAATTGGTCAAGCAATGGACATGACTCATCCACATGGCTGACACTGACAAAGGATTGACAATGGGCTGTACATTCTTTCAGGGTAAATCCTGAGGGGATTTAACTGACCTTGTCAAATAGCAAAAGTTACATTTTTAGTTATATAGGTCTTGCTTTGACTTGGTCTTAACCATCCAGCAGAAAAGTGTAACCCTGAGGTATAAAATAGTAAAGCTGTATTAACATGCTGAGCTGTAAAAGGCTCAAGTCAACAACTTGCGACAATTGTCAGTTGTGCTGATAACTCACTACTATTATGTACTATTAGATTATATTGGATTGTCTGCTGAATTCAAGAACCTACAACCTTTGGTATCGCATCAAGTATGAAAAGGTCCTTTGAAGACTTCTCCAAATAAAGTATCTCTAACTGCAGTGGAACACCCTTCTCTGACAAAACAAAACAATAAAGGGAGATATAAAGGACCATTTTGCAGTGGAAAAAATATATATGTATATACAAGATAGCTAGGATAGACATACGGCTACCTTCTATTAGTTCAATGAAAAGGTTTGTACTAATATTGTTTAGAGAAGATATCATGTCTACATCTTTTCCTCTGAATACTATGAAGACAACAATATGCAATTTATTATTGTAACTGTCCTACTAACCTGTTTTGAAACTGTTTGATTGCTATTTTATTTTTCTCATTAAAATGTAAAAAACTAAAAAAAATGTTTTTTAAAGTGAATGGAAAAAAACTGCTTTTGCCTGAGTTGTTCAAGTGTTGAGCTAATTCTTTCAAAAGCAGCATCTCCACCCAACCATGTGTAAGACTTCTGGGAGGCCAGGCACCACCCTGTACTCTAGCCACAATAATGAGTAATATTTAATTGAAAAATATCATTATTGACAGAGTTAGCGAGGTATATTTTTGAGGCAATGTGATATCGAGAGCCTTAAAACGTTAGCAAAAGGGCTTGCCAGATAGCTCAGCAGACTAAAGCGCCTTCTTAGGCAGGTGCAGGGACTGAGGTTCAATCTCTGGCCCGCTGTGCCATCCCCAACCCCAGGGTGCACTGAGACGGCAACTGGTATGGTGGCACTTGGGAGGCTGAAAATAAAAAGGATCATTACAAGTCTGATCTGTGTAGAGAGACCCTGTACTAAATACATAAAACAAATACTGGCACTGAGTGGATGAAATGTAAACAGTAAAATAGGTTTCGGGCTGGTGAGATGGCTCAGTGGTCTAAAAGCACCTACTTAGAACAAGCTTAGCAAAGCACCACGACCGCGGTTCAATCCCCCAGCACCACATGCCAGCCAGCCCCGCCCCCTGGTGGGCTGAGCTGGCCACACACACACACACACACACACACACAAATAAATAAATAAAATTAAAAAAAGAAAATAGGTTTCACCTTAGTAAGGACCACAATATATGGGCAGGAAATATAGATCAAGATCAGAGGTATAGGGGGGCCTGCCCCTTAGCTCAGTTCTTTAAGTGGCTGCTTCAACAAAGCAATCAGGCTCAGGTTGCTCTGGTTCGATCCCCACAACTCAAGCCACCCAAACCTGCCCTGAAGGCATTTGGAGCAAAAAAAAAAAATCAGAGGTATTATAACAATGTGTATGAGCTTATCTAAATGTTGATAGCTGCTGATTCTGACCATGTGAGGAAAGAAAGGAACAGCCGAACACTATAAGGCCTTTTTTACATATTTGGCACAAGGTCTGCAGGGTCTCACTACGCAGATCAGACTAGTAGTGATCCTTCTGTTTTCAGCCTCCCAAGCACTGGGATTACAGGCACACACCACCACAGGGTGGGGCTGTCACTGCACGCCAAGGATTGAACCTCAGTCCCTGCATCTGCCTATGTAGGTGCTTTAATCCACTGAGCTATCTGGTCAGCCCTATAAGGCCTTTTATAAGGCATACAAGTAGGTGCCAGAAGAAAATAATGTAATGAAGTTCCAGCAACCCCAGGATCCCATACTAGCACTGTCATTAAAAGGTAAATGGTAATTCCTGGTTGTTTAGACTGTAACACCATTACATTATGGGATCCCCTATTTTCTAGGATTAGATTATAAGATAAGAACAAAAAAACTGGTAGATTGACATGAATTGCATCCCAAATCTAGGCTATCTCCTCTAGGCACCCATAGGAAAAAAATATACAGAGATATTGGGTTTAGGAAGGTGACTGCCAGACACAGAGGAACCTAGGATTCTGGCAATATTAACAAAAACTTAATGATAAGCTAGGCTCCTATAGTATGAAAATATGATCCACATACATACCACTAAAACTGAGAAGAAATACAGTTGTTATTGGAGGTGACATTAGAGATTATACATAAGGAAATTCTTCAGTTAAAAGGTACCATTCATGAGGTAATAAATTCCAGCTGATAGTATTAAGAGTATTATTATTAATAAGAGTATCCAGAGTGACTATAAATTTTGTTATAATCCCACAAATGGCTAGGAGGGGGCAGCCAGGCTCCGCCAGCATAAGAGGCATCCTTGGAGGAGAGGGGAGGATCAGGGTCCCCCAATTGACTATCTAAAAAACAGGAGGCATAAGTACAGGTGCCTGATATATCATGCCATCCACTTTTGTTATACAGTTAAACAGAAACAGAATTTCCAGGAAGAGGTTTGCTGGGGTAAAATGAATGCTGGCTTTTGGTAGCATGTGCTCAGCCTATGCAGTGAGCTGTTTGGTCTCTCCCAGGGAGATTTTGAGGACTGTGTTGCAGAGGGTACCAGATTTGTTCTCTTTCTCTTGTTGCTCATTCCTGAAGGGAAAACACCACCTCCTGCAGCTCAGAGATGAGGTTTCTTCTCATCTGGTGAACAAACACAGGCGTAACCCCTCCCCCAAAGAGCAATTCCAGAGGGCTTAACAATTCCACTGCTGTGAAGCCATCTGACAATTTTAAAAAATCTAGAGTGCTTTATATAAATGCTCCTGTGGGTAAAGTCTCTCTTACCATATTTCTGCCTTTATGTTTTAATAATTGAATTTTAAATAGTAAATCCTTGCTACAAAAGGTGACTAGTAGATTAAGAATAAAGGGCTACATGGTGACACTTTGGCCCTGTGGGCTAACACAGGCTAAAGGGAATCTGTTTGACATGGACTTCTAGAGCCACCAAATACTGTGTAATAGGTATCAACAGAGAAATGAATATATTGAAGTTTGCCAAGATTTTTAGTGAGTCATATCCACTTGCCAAATTTGATTGCCTTTTAAACTATAGGATTTACTCCTGTCTGCAGAATGGATTTTATCAATCATGGTGGTTGTCTTAGAAGTTGAATCCTTATCGAATGTTAATATACAACAATTATGATGTTTTACAGAGAAAACTTGAGATCAAGGGCAGCATAATATTTTTGCATAATCATCATAATGACAATATCAGAACTACCATGTTTTATTATAATCTGAAAAACACATTTAAATGTTCATCTTAGTATAGAATAACTTTTTATTTTTTTTGCTCCGAATGCCTTCAGGGCAGGTTTGGCCGGCTTGCGTTGTGAGGATCGAACCACAGCAACCTGAGCCTGACTGCTTTGTTGAAGCAGCCACTTAAAGAACTGAGCTAAGGGGCAGACCCCCTAGAATAACTTTTAAGTCAGCTATCTTTATCTAACCACAAATGTTAAATGACATAAAGAAACTTTTAATTTATTATCAATTTCTTTCTTTCTTTCTTTTTTTTTTTTTTTTTTGCGGTACCAGGGATTGAATTTAGGACCTTGTGCTTGCCAGGAAAGCACTTACTCTACTGAGCTATCTCCCTGGTCCCCTTAATTTATTATCTTTAAGTATTTTCTGTTACCAGGGTGACATTTAAGTAGAATGTAATTGTTTACAAATGTACTTTACAGGTTTTTAACCTCTAACCTTTTAATTTTTAGAGTGACACTGCCTGTGCTGCACAGTGTCTGGGTATCTTAGACTACTGTAACATAATTACATATAAATCACATAAAACTAAGTGTGAAAAAGTATTCTCATTATCTAGTTATATCACATTGGCTTGATATCTACATTTTAAAACACAGTAAAGGGAAGCTAGGTGTTGAGCCTAAAATACTTATCACCATAAACCACCAGTGTGATAAAAACAGGTTTTTTTAGTTTTGTATCTTTGAAGGCCTGTACACTTGGGAAGCACAAATACAAAATTTAACATACCATGAGATTAGCAATAGTATCAAGGCTATATAGAAATCTTCACATGTATTTAGTTGTTGTTGTTGTTATTATTTTTTGGGGGGGTATTTTAGGGAAGGGTCTACAGTGTATTCAGGGTCTCACTACTAGATCGGACTCGTAGCAATCCGCCTGTTTACAGCCTCCCAAGAGCTGGCATTACAGGCACGCGCCACCACGCCCAGCCTCAATTGCTGTCTCAGTGCGCCCCAGGGGCAGGGCCGGCATGGCAGTCCCGGGGACTGAACTCCTGGCCCCAAATCTGTTGGGCTATTTGGCTGGCTGATTATTACTATTATTTTATTGGCTTTCTGTGATAGGATTCCATTCTACAATTCAGGCTGGGCTTGAACTTACTATGTAGCCCATGCTGACCTCAAACTCATGGCAATCCACCCACCTCAGCCTTTCAAGTGCTAGAACTATAGGCCTGTGCCACCAGGTCCCACTTCGTTTTTATTTTTAAAACAAACTCCAGACTCCCCTAAAAGGTTTTATAAGGTGTAATTATATTAACAAGAATGAAAGACATTTTTACAGCTCAAGTAAGTTTTGGAAACAGTATTAATGACCAAAAATAGACTTATTACCCAATATACAAGTTTATCTCATTTATACAATAAGAAAATGTTTACTCAAAGCCAATAGATATAGATCAACTTTAAATGTCAGGACCAGGCCAGGGATATAGCTCAGCAGCATAAGTGTTTGCCTGGCAAGTGCAAGGTCCTGAGTTTGATCCCAGGTACTACAAATGAAATAAAATAAAATAAATAAATGTCAGGACCAAATTAAAGAGATGTCAAATTTTGATCGTTTTCAGGTTAAACACATATTGCATAAAAGAGAGCACCTATTAATTACTTTGTATGTATTAAACTTATATAGTCTTAACTCTATAAAGTTAACTTTAAAGCTTAAACTCACAGTATAGCTTGTTTTCAGATGTATATATACATACATGCACAAAATGTTAGTTGTCATAAACTGAGATAATAGTTGTTTATTTAGCCAATCACGAAATGATTATTGAAAACAGTTTAAAGGTTAACATTAAAATATTCTAATTCTTGAAGCTCACTTTTGAATAACCAAAAGCCTAATGATAACAAAACAAGAAACTTCTTTAGTAAAATATACAACCTGACTGCTTAAACAAAGCAATCATAGGGCCGGGGAGATGGCTCAGTGGAATAAGCGTTTCCCTGGCAAGCACAAGGCTCTAAGTTCAATGCCTGATTCCGCCAAAAAAAAAAAAAATACAACCTTTGGTTTTAAATTTAGTTTTGTAAGTTTAACCAAGAGCACTTCAACATTTTTAGAAAACCATACTGTTTTAGACAAAAAAAACTTTCAATCATAGAAAAAACAATTATTTAGATAACTTATTACATGAGAGAATATGTATCTAAAGCTGTATATATATGAAATCTTTGACCAAGAAAGTCTTAAATTATCATACACAAACAATAATAGACATTGCATTTATATAAAACAGATTTTTATATTACACTGGTTGCTTAAGAACATGTATGAACATATTTTACCAACTTTAAAGATATTTTTACTCTTACCAACTGATTCAAATTATACTACTGTTAAACTATATAAACCACAAGCATTAAAATAAAAAACCACAAGCATTTGAGATTATGTTTTGAGTATAAGTCAACCTACATAAAACTTTTGGAGGATAATCTAACATGTACTTGAAAGTATATATCTATAATTCTAATACAGAAATACATACATATTAACCTAAATCACATATAAACTTTGTTATCAAACATTAATATTTTTATTCCAGTGCAAGCCTCAAGCCTGTCAATCTTTATCTGGGAATGTTTTAAATAAGTCTGCCTACGCTGAGAACCTATATAAGTGATCTTTCCATGGAAATCTCAAAAAGAACAATAAAGTTGAACTCAAAAAAATATTTCTCCTAAACTAAGTAGCTGCATGTACTTTAAACAACACAAATATACAAACAAAAAATATCTTTAAAGCACAGTACATTCTTAGAAATATTGGCCAGAGTCGAACTACAATAATCCCTTTTTAGTTTTTAGGTTTGTAACTATAAGCAGACTAATCAGAACTTTTTCGACAGGTCATCAATTAGCAGAGGTGTCTTGTAATAAGAGCCAGAAGGAAAAATCTCTTTTACATCTGTTATTAAGAAGGGATTTAGGCTGATGATTTATCTTACTGAAACAGACCTGTTTCTGCTTATACCTGCTGATAAACTCACAAGAGTCCCTAAGAATATTTTTTGTTGTATTGATGAATGTATCTTTGATGTAAAAAACAATTCCCTCCTGAAGCAGCACTTCTGAAAGGAAAGGGAGTGAAAGGAGGTATTTTTTAGTCCTGCCTGAGCGTAGAAATGTTGGTAAATTTGAACTAGAACATTTATATTTGCTCTTCAAGAGTCTGAAGGTCAAATCCAGACCAGTTTTTTTTTTTTAATATGGCCCAGTTAAGAGTGAAGGTCAAGGGGCTGGGGAGATGGCTCAGTAGAATAAGCACTTGCTTGGCAAGTGCAAGAGTCTGAGTTCAATCCCCAGTTCCGCAAAAAAAAAAAAAAAAAGAGTGAAGGTCAGCTTCATTCTGGAAGGGTCACAGGAATAAGAAATCTGCAAACAAGGAAACTGGTCCTGACTGTAGCAGCCACAGAGAAGAGAATCATTCTGGAGCATGAGAACAAAATCCTAAAATCATTAAGAACAAAAGCTTTCTGAGGGTGAATCTCTACTCCTTAGCAAAACATAAAGACAAAAACAATGATAAACTCCACATTGTCAGGCAAAAATTTAAGTCACTAATCCAAGAAACAGGGCTGGCCAAATAGCTCAGTGGATTAAAGCACCTGCAAGCAGGTACAGAGGTCAGGGGTTCAATCCCCCAGGAGACAGCAATTGAGACTGGGTGTGGTGATTCACCCCTGTAATCCCAGCACTTGAGAGGCTGTAAACAGGCGGATTCCTACGAGTCTGATCTAGTAGTGAGACCCTGAACACCCCGTAGACCCTTCCCTAAAATACAAAACTAAAAAAAACTTAAACTAAAAAAAAAAGAAACTGAATGACTACCTTTCAGCTTACTGAGAACTAGCAAGAATGAATAAGAAAATCAAAGCATAGATTGGAGATGCTCTTTTAAGCTTTGTAAACTGGGTTTATAAACATTTGTAAAAAATATTTGTAAAGCCTTTCTATGTTTGTCCCAGTTCAGCATAACTTGCTGATTTAACTTTTGTTGTTTATACCTCTTTTTTAAAAAATTTCCTTTTCTTTTCCTATTTTCATTTGCTTTTTTTTATCTTTTTCCATTGTTTCCTATTTTTCTAATTTTTTTTTGTAAAACAATCCCAATTGGTGTATGATGTTACAATTTTAAAGCCCCTCTCAGCCACTCTCTTGGTCCCCTAGCAGGTTGGAGGCAGAAGGGGGCTTACAGAGGCAGCTGAGAGAGGAGGTGGCTTCCTTCATTTGAATAGATTAAATATTGACTGCAAAAATCCCAGATTTCAAGGTGGGCATCTTTTACAGGGCCTAATAACTATCTCTTTTTTTGGATTATATGTTCCTAGTCCTCCATGTCCAGAGGAAACCATGAATATTGTTGCGGAAAAACTATGAATAATTTAGTAAGTTAAGGTTCAGAAAGTTTACACCCAGAAATCTTTAAAAGACCTTTTAAATACTGCTAAAATTGTTTATCCTGTTTGGATAAAGTTTGATCAATGCCATATAAAGGAACATAGAGCTGAGGAGATGGCTCAGCAGTCTAAGTGTCTGCCTGGCCAATACAAGGACCTGGGTCCATCCCTGGTACCACATGCCATGCAAGCCCTGGCACCTGGGGGTGGAAGCACACACCTGTTATCTCAGTGCTGGGGAGGCTGAGACAGGAGGATCACTAGAGTCCAGGCTGCATTGCGAGACCCTGCACCAAATAAATAAGATTTTGAACAAAGAAGAAAGTAAAAGAGCAAAAGAACACATTACCTGCTCCCAATTAGCAACTAGACAGTTAAAAGAACTCTGAGCTGATAATCTTAAACTGTGACCTTGCCAAGACATGCCAGGGTCGTCTTTGTCCCCTTATCTTACAGGCTTCCTGCAACTATAAGGGAAGTAAACTCCCAACCTGAAAGATATTTGGGATGAGTTTGTGTTATCTAAAGTTGAAGAATGAATTTTAAGAATGGAAGTTAAGAGCAGAGTATATTTACTGGAGGAAAGAGAACATATTTTTGTAGGGACAGAAGAGGACCCAAGTGGGTAGGCCAGAAACCTGTCTTCTCCAGGGATTTTTATAGAGCAAAACCATGAGGTAAGGCAAGTCTAAGATGGAAAACATGGCAACTCCTAAGGTGGGCAAGGGGTGGAATGAAACTATGGTCAACAAATAAGGTTACAAGCACAATTGCTCAGGTAAAATTGATTAAATCAGGATCAAATGGAGAAGCAAGTCACAAAGCCAGGCAGGAATAAATACAGAACAGGGGCTCTTCCTGCAGGGGGTTGCATCAGTGACTCTTCAGCTTTCCCAAGGTGATCAATACCTATTTAGAATGTCAATCCCTTATGTTTATCCCTCAGGAGGTATAGGGTACACATGTTTGATACTGTCTTGAGGTCTGGCCCAGAGAGAGAGACTGCCTGTCCCTCCCACAGTTGCAAAGAATCTGGCTTTCTACACTGGCTCCTTTTGAGGGCTTGGCCTTGTCTAATTGCCTATGTTTCTATCTGAGTCAGCTATGTGTGACACCTACTCCTTTCCTAGGCTTTGGGACATCAGTCTTCTTGCAGTGAGCTGCACCAACTTATGCCTCACACGTTCCTCACATGAACGTGGCATGACACAAAGAATGAAAGAATACTCAGAGTCTGCAATGAATTTTAACTCCAAAATGGCCCAGAGGAGCTACCCTTAACCAAAACACTTCAGCATGAGAAAGTCTCAAGAGCAGCCCCTAATTGGAGGCACTGTGACTTTTTATTGACAGAACCAGGAAGCAAGGATAAAGGACAAAGGAAGGACTAGCCCTGGGCAGGAATTCCTGTAGGGCACAGGGGAAGGTCAAGGTGTCTGTTACATGACTGACTTTAAAGCCAATCTAAGTAAGTTGGAATATGAGGAGGACAGGCCCTGAGCATTCATTAGCTAAGGCCATGTGCTCTGACCCTACTAGGACTTGTGGCCCTGTAAGCTATGTTTTAATCTCTAGCCATGCATTCTGGGAGGCTTTTTGGGGGCATGTGTCTCCAAAAGTTCCTTGCCTCTGCATATCTATCTCATACATACACCTGTGCATATCCATCTCATACATACCTCTGGCCAACGCCCCCACACAAATTCATGTAACAAAATTAAATGATTTCTACTTAGGAATCATTCAGGATATAGAGCTGCAGAACCCAGCGTCACATAGGCTTGATTTGTCTCCTCACACTCGATGGAAAAATTCTCCTTCCTGTAAGAAGAGGTACGAATTAGGCACAAGTGAGGATTAGTGTGCAATGGAAAAACCAATGCAGGAGCAAAAGGAAGAAGTTCACAAATTATGTGTAAAATTTTAATTTTTAAGAACTGAGTGTGTGTGTGTGTGTGTGTGTGTGTGTGTGTCTGTCTGTCTGTCTGCCTGTCTGTCTGTCTCTGTTTCCTTCTCATTAACTCCCCTAGGATATGAGTATGATTGAGAACAGATTTCTGAAATATGCAGGACAGCAGTCATTAGAGCACCTTGCTGGTCCTCTGCAGAGACTCAGAAGAGAGCTAACACAATGTGGATATTTTTGTAACTTTATATACTGTGTGTTTGACTTGGGTTTCTTCTGTTGTGTTTTATATTGCTTCTGGGAAGAAATGTTTAAAATTAATTGTAGTACTGTTTTGATATACATAATGATCACATTCATCATAGGGATTTTATATCCTACAATGTATTTGTACACAATATATCTTAATTTTTTTCCCTTTCCCCTTCCTTCCCTTCAACCCTTCTTTCCTTCCTTACTTACAAGTTTTGTTTCCATTTTTTTCTTCTAGTCTGTTTAATTCTTTTCCCTTCCTTCCTCACAGCCTCCCTCCTTCTTTTTTCTCCTTCCCATTTACACACTTTCTTCCTATTTTCCAATATCTGTCATCCCTTCTAGTCTATATTTATACTTCCATTGTCTCACACAAGGCAGCAATTCAATATTTAAACGTGTGTCCAACTTATTTCATTTAGAAGGAATATTCTCAATGTGCACGCATTTACCTAAAAGGGCTTGTTTATTCTTTATGGCAGAGTATACTGTATTGTACAGAGAAAGCACATTTTCTTTACTCATCTGATGATGGGCATATGGGTTATTTCCAATATTTAGATATTGTGAATTGTGCTGCAATAAACATGGGTATGCATACATCATTCTAGGATGATACTTTTACCTCTCTGAAGAAGATATCAAGAAGTAGAATACCTGGGTCAAATGGAACCTCTAAGTTTAGTTTTTTGAGGAAAAAACTAAAACTCATTTTCTAAGAGCTGTTCACACTGATTTCCATAGTGGCTGTATCAGTCTACATTCCCACCAACAGTGGAGAGGGGTTCCTTTTTCCCCCAAGGCTTCACCAGCATTTGTTTTTGATTGACTTCTTAATGATAGCCTCTCTTGAATGCAACATTCACAGGAGTCTAGGATGATGAGCGAAATTTCTGCACATGTATACTGGCTATCTGCAGGCTATGGAAGAGTCTGGAGGGTTAGCGTAGCTGTGGACTGCCATTTTCTAGGAGCTGCTCTGAACCTTGGAAGTTAGAGATTTCTGATTTTCTGAACTATAGAACAAATAAAATGATTATTTCTTCTGAGCAGGGAGTTTAATTACAATAGCAAAAGAAAATTATCTATTATATTTTTGCAATTGACTCCTTATACAAATCTGGCAATTAGATAGGCACAACTGACTTCATATTTTTTTAATTTAAAACATAATTTATTACCTAGAATTAGAAATTTCCATTTTTTGATACTGATGAGACAAAGAGATGTTTGAATTCTAGTATAAATAACTAGCTACTTGAATATAACTTAGCCAGGGATTTGAAAAGAAAATAGCTATTTTATGTTTTTAAAACTTTTATGGTACAAGGCACTCTGACACCTAAAACTGAAGAAAAACGGCTCTGCTTAGTTCAAGAAGATCATTGCTCCATCAACCAAACATGCAGGTGAACAAGAGAAAAAATGAATTTTATTAAAGACAAACATAAGACCTGACATTTCAAAGCTCCTAGATAAAAGCATAGGAGAAAAACTATACGACATTGGTCTGGTTGATGAGTTTGTTTGTATTTGATCCCAAAAGCTCAGAAAGTGAAAAAAAAATACAAATAAGATTACATCAGGGCCCAGGAAGATAGCTCAGTAGAATAAGCGCTTGCCTGGCAAGTGCAATGGCCTGAGTTCAATCCCCAGTCCCGCAAAAAAAATGGGGGTGGGCAGGGGAGATGGCTCAATAGAATAAGCACTTGCCTGGCAAGCGAAAGGGCCTGAGTTCAGCAAAAGAGCCTGAATTCAATCCCCAGTTCAGCCAAAAAAAAAAAAAAAAGATTACATCAAATTGCCAGGCATGGTAGCACATGCTTAGAATCTCAATACTCAGGAGGTTAAGGCAAGAGAATCATTGCCAATTTGAGAAGAGCAGCCAGGGCTACAAACTGAGCTCTAGGCCAGCTGAACTGCATAGCAAGACTCTATCTCAAAAGGACCAAAAAAAAAAAAAGATTTATATTAGTCTCCCAAAGAATCACACAAAAAGAGTGCCAAAAATCTGTCACACACTAAAGACCAAAGATGAGTCCAGCTGAAGACCCAGAACTCATAACAATGCCTCCCACAAGTCCAAATGGAGGCCTAAGGCCCACAACCATGTCTTCATACAGACCCATTGCATGGGTCTGCACTGGTAAGGTCCAAAGGTCACAGCTAGAAGCTAGAAAGTCTATGCCAGCAGGATGAAGGGTCTGTGCCAGCAGGCTGAGGGATCTGAACTGGAGTCAGGAACCAATACTCAAGGTAAGAACCAGAGCTCCCCTGAAAAGTACCACAGCCATTCTCAGCAACAATGAGTTTCCAAGCTCCTCCAAAGATGAGGAAAGCTGAGTTCCCACCTGGAAAACCAACACAACAAGCTTGTCCAGGAGCCTGAGCAGCGCACCATATTCCCCTGCCTTTGCTTGCTATTTTATAGATGTACCTTCAAGTTTCCTTATACCAAGGTGCTTAGAGGTTGCACTACCCTGAAGGTGGTTCCTGCACCAGAAATATTAGCATCTCCTGGGAAATGGTTAGAAATGTAAATTTGGAGGCCACACCTGACCAACTAAAACTGCAACTCTGTAAATGGAATCCATGTTCTAAAGGTCATCTAGCTGATTCTAAAGCACAGGAAAATTTGAGAACCATGGACTTGGACTGCCTGTTATATTATTGTTTCTCTGGTTAACAGAACAGCACGTTTGATAGTGCAGAAGCATAAGAAATTGCCTAGCCAGGGTTTCTGGTGAGTACACAATTTCCTGCTCTAAATGCAGTTTGCTGGAAAACCAAAGAAGTAGCAAGTACAAGTTTCAAATGCTCAGGCTAACAAGTCTGTGAATCCTGCACTGCACTCATGCCCAGAGCTTGTGGGCTCTGCCTATGGGGAAACCTTGCCCACTGGTAAAACTGATTCTGTGAGGGAGGTACTTGGGGCTGTGGTGGGTAAAAGCTCTCACCAGGAATAAAGTATTTGGGCCTTAAGTACTGTTCTGCCCTCCAAACAGCCACACCTAAGGTAAAAATGTAAGGCATACATTTTTGTGCTTTTCTTCAAAATACGTTTAAATCACCACAGCAAAGAGCCACGCAGATCCTCTTGAGCGTAGTCTGTGGTCTGCAGTAGGTTTTGATAAAACACGAAGTATCGCTCTTTGAATTGGACACGTATGTCCAGAATAAAACCCTATTTTTTTTTTTCAAAGAACCAGAAACTAGGGGTCCAGGTTAAGCCAATAAAACCAATGGTAGAAAAAAAAATAATTTTTAAAAAAACAATGGTAGAAGTACAATCTAGGTGTGCCCCACCAACAACACGTTTTCGCCCTGATTTTATCCTCCATTCATTATTTTGCAGCCATGCCCATAGATCCCGTCTGTTACAAATCGAGAAGAGCCAGAAAATTCACACAGCTCAAAGTCAACACACAGGAGTTACCCGCCCACTTAATCCTGCAGCTACGCCATCAGTTGTCGCCGCCATATCCGTTCATCGGTCAATCCCCCGCCCCTCCGTGCCCTCTCTCACTTCCGTTCCGTCTCTCACCGCAGCTGATGGCAGAACATGCCTAGTCCTCAGCCCCAAGAAGTGCCACAAACCTCTGCCGTATCGGCTTTCCTGTGGCACACAGCTCCTGCCGGCGGCCTCAGAAAACAGCGGCGATGGCCACAGCCAGGCTGTCTCCCACTGCGCTCTTAACCCTCCGTGGTCCGCCATGATAGAGATGAGCGCGCCACAGTCACATTGCGCCCAGCGAGTGACGACCGCGGAACACCCACAATCCTCCTCGCCTCGGCTTCTTACTCCCGGCCCAACATTAACCCCTTCGCGTTCAGGTTCTTTTCCTGGTGATCCCGGGTGGGAGATCCGGGTGACGAAACGGGTAAAGATGTAAAAGACCAGGCCTATCCATTTAGTCGTCTAAACATTTCACAATATCCTTATAGACTGACTTCAAGTTTACCAATTATTTTAAAATAGGTCATCACTTCCTGGTTAAGTGAACCATTTCTGAGGCTGTCTTTAAGCTGATTGCCTAACCCAAACAGAATTTTTACCTTGAAACTGTAGCTCTACTTTCCCTTCCTCTGCTCTGGCCCACTCTTGACTCTTTAACTACAAAATTAAGAGGCCAGACTTTGGTTTTTTTGTTTGTTTTGTTTTTGTTTTTATGAATTTAGGACAGGGTGTACAGGGTCTCACTATGTAGATTGGACTCATAGTGATCCTATTTTTTCAGCCTCCCAACCGCTGGGATTACAGGTGCGTGCCACCATGCCCAGTGTAAGACAGACTTTGAATCCTGAGTTTTGACTTTGCATAACCATGGGATCTTGAGCAAATAATTTAAACATGCTGTTTCTTTCCTTCTTCATCCATGTAGAATGGGAATGATACCAAAATGGCTATCTCCAGGGTGGTAGTAAGAATATAAAAAGTTCAAGTAGAACATTACCTAGCTCAGAGTTAAACAATATATTGAAATATAAACCATAATTCTTGCCTTTGGTGGAATGTCTTCTTACCAAAGTCCTGCATAATTAATAAATGATAGTAGTGGCTAAGATGCATGGATCAGACGCTATGATGAATGCTTTTTCATTTCAATGTCATTTAGTCCTTATATTAACCCTTTGGTGATACTTTAAGTGTATTATCATTTCTTTTCTTCTTTTTTTTTTTTAGCAGGGGCCTACAGGGTGTACAGGGCCTCACTACATAGATCAGACTCTTAGTGATCTGCCTGTGTTCAGCCTCCCAAAGGGCTGGGATTACAGGTGAGTGCCACCACACCCAGTCTCATGGAGCCAGCATGGCGGCATGCCAGGGATCGAACTCTGGCCACTGCATCTGCCTAAGCAGGTGCTTTAATCCACTGAGCTATTTGGCAGTCCCTAGATACTTCTGGGGTTTGTTTGTTTGTTGCCAGAACCTGGGATTGAACTCAGACCCTTGCACTTGCTAGGAAAGTGCTTATTCTACTGAGCCATCTCCCCAGCCCTGATACTTCTGTTTTTAAGCAGATAAAAAAAATTCAAGTCAGCCAGATAGAATCAAACTCAATAACTTGCCCATGGTTAAAAAGCTAGCAATAAACAGCTAAGATGTAAGCACAGACATGCCTTAGTATCTGTCAAATATCACTAAAAACCAGGCCAGCAACTATATTCAAGCATTCCTTTTCTAACACCCAAGAGTGACCTCAATATCCAGTATATCAGGAAGATTGGATTCTTCAGCAGCATGAATCAGCCACCAATGAAGCAACCATCCGACCCTGGAAGGCAGAAGTGACTAAAATAGCAATGATCATAACCACCTCACTTACTGCCTTTACTAGTGTCTCATGGACTCCAATCCTGCTATTCAAACCGAGGCTATTAAAAATAAAAGTGTAGGTGCTTGGGAGATGCCTCGCTAGAATAAGCACTTCCCTGGCAAGCGCAAGGGTCTGAGTTCAATCCCCAGTTCTGCCAAAGGAAAATAAAAGGATAAAAATATAAGATCCTCACCTTTCCTTATTGTGTAAAATCTGGGTATTATCAAAGAATTTGACTATTTTAGGATGAGAGACTGTTATATGTGTATTAAAGTGTCTTAATATATTGTTTTGGGTTTTTTTTTTTTTTTTGGTGGTACCAGGGATCAAACTCAGGACCTTTTTCTTGCCAGGCAGGCTCTTATTCCACTGAGCTATCCCCCCAGCCCCTAATATATTCTTTTAACTCCAGAATGGTAGTAATTTTCACATTAGCAGATCCTAGATTCAAACATTACTGTTGATATAGAGGAAAGAAACTCCCAACCTGCTACCTATCTGGTATGAGTTCCTGTTTGCTAAAATCAAAGAATACATTTTAGGAACAACAGAGCTTAAGGGCAGAACATTTTTTTTTTTTTTTTGCAGAACCGGGGATTGAACTCAGGCCCTTGTGCTTGCCAGGCAAGCACTTATTCTACTAAGCTAACTCCCTGGCCCCCCAGAACATTTTTGAGGGGAAAAAAGTTCTGTCTGACGGACCAGGGAGATGGCTCAGTAGAATAAGCACTTGCCTGGCAAGTGCAAGAACCTGAGTTCAATCCTTGGTTCTGCAAAAAGAAAAAAGAAAAAAAAAATTTCTCTCTGAGAGAGATACGAGTCCTGAGTGGCTTGCCAAGGAACCTACCTTTTTTAAGGGACTTTTGTAGAGCTAATCCATGACGTGAAACAGCTCTAAGGTGGGCAACATGGGAAACTGCAAGGTGGGCATTAGGTGGGACAAAACTATGAGCAACCAATAAGATTATGGGTATGATCGCTCAGGTAAAATTGATCTAATGGAGACGTGCGCCTTGTAGCAAGCAGGCATGAATGCACAACTGGGCTTTTCCTGTAGGGGGTTGGGTCAGTGACTATTCCAGGCTTTCTGAAAGTAATAAATACCTATTTAGAATATCAATCCCTGATGTTTCTCCTTAGGGAAGTTTGTAGGATGTAGCACTCACACCAGCAATCCCAGCGTTGGATGAAGAATCAATCACAAACTCCAGAAGCTGCCCCATGACTGCATGAGGCTTTGGGGGGACAACTAGACAGAAACCATAACAGTTGCTTAGAACAATGTTCCATGCCCCAAAGAGCAGGAAAATCCCCTTTCCCAGATGAAAACAAACAGGAATCCTTTTGTCCTTCCTAGAGTCTGAACTACCCAGGATCCTGTTATTCTTTTTTTTTTTTAAAAAAAATCATTTTAAAATTCATTTTCATTTAAAACGAGGAAAATGATAAAATAGTAATGAAAAAGTTTCAAAACAGGGAAGTTTACAATAATTAATTGTAATTAATTGTAGGGAAGTTACAATAATTAATACATTGCATATGTGTTGTCTTAGTAGTATTCGGAGGACATGATGCGGACAGGACATTTTGTCTAAACAGTATTAGAACAAACCTTCTCAATGAACTAAGAAAGTAGCTGTATATCTATCCTAATTATCTTGTATATACATACATTTTCTTTTTTTTCACAATGGAAATGGTACTTTATACTTTTGCAAAGTTAATAACATGTGACACAAGGTTGCCTAGCAACTAATAGCTGACCTTAACCAGACAGGATGTTTATCTCAGGACTGAGGTAACTTGGCTTTAGGTGCTGAGGCCTAGTCCCACCTACACACATTTGAGCAATTTCCTAGCTTGAGGCCCCCAACATATCCCCCCTTTGTTACTTTGTTTTGTCAGAGATGGATGTTCAATTGCACTTAGAGATGCTATATTGGGAGAAGTCTTTAAAAGACCTTTTCATATTTGATGCCAGTTCATACTTTGTAGGACCTTGAATTCAGCAAAATACCCCAACATAGTCCAATAGCCCATAATAGTAGTGAGTTAATAGCACAACTGGCACTTTCCAAAGTTGTTGATTTGAGCCTTTTATAGCTCAGTGTATTAATGTAGCTTTACTTTTTTATACCTCAGGGTTACACTTTTCTGCTGGATGGTTAAGACCAAGTAAAAGTAAGACCTATATAACTAAAAATGTAACTTTTGCTATCTGACAAGTTCAGTCAAAAGCACTACATTGAAGACAACAATGCGTTATACTAAAACCACACTTAAAATACCTGTCATTTTGGTCGGCTCAATGCATACTGTTTCTAATGTTATAGCAATTATTGCAACTGGAACCTTCAAACCTCCATTGTGCAGACCGATCCTCTGTACCCTTCCACACCTGACTCTGGGTGGCCACTGCAAGCCAATCTTTTAAATTCTTATATTTGTGTATGTTGCATTACATCTGTTTCTCTGGTGAACACTGACTCATATATTTTGTTATAGTTATTCTTGCTGTAGTAGCTTGAATTTTTAATGGTTATTTTACTTACCTGTAAGTTCTTTGATATTGAAGATAGTCAAAGAATGAGCCTAAGGTAAGATATCTGTTGGGAATGCCCTAGAAGTATTAAAAAAAATTACCAGTTTGCAAATAACAAGAATATAAAATAAATAAATAATTGTACCATGATTTAAAGACTTAGCAAGATATTATAGGCTGGGAAGATGGCTCAGTAGAAGGGCCTCAGTTCAACACGTGGTTCCGCAAAAAAAAAAGATATCATGTAAACACTAGGCAAAATATTTTAGAGGGGCCGGGGAGATGGTTCAGTAGAATAAGCGCTTCTCTGGCAAGCGCAAGGGCCTGAGTTCAATCCCTGGTTCCAGGAAAAAAAAAATTTAGAAATATATGAAGAATGGTGAATTGGAGCCAGCCAGGTAGCTCAGCAGTTTAAAGCATCTGCTTAGGCAAACACAGTAACTGGGGTTCGATCCCCAGCGTGCCCTGCTGGCCCAGTCCCCTGGGGCATGCTGAGAGGGTGATTGAGACTGGGCATGGTAGCATGTGCCTATAGTCCCAGACTCAGGGCCTGAAGCAGGAGGATATCTGTCAGTTCGAGACTAGCCTGGGCTACAAAATGAGCTCAAGGCCAACCTGAACTGCATAGCAAGACCCTGTCTCAAAAATGAAAAAAAAATGATGGTGAACTACAATAAATAACCTATAAATAAACATAGGTTACATGAACTTTGTTTTCTTAAATAATCAAACACGTGATAAAATCAACAAAAAACACAATATGATACTTGTAAAACATGGAATATTTTCTATCCAGATTACATGGGGCAGCCCTTCATAAAGGGATGGAAATAACAGTTCAAAGCTGTGTATCACTTCTGTGATAAACCCTGGAAATATAAAATGAATGACACATACTCTAAAACTCCCAGGATATTATAACAAAGGTAAGAAAAGAGATATGGTAGGGAAAACATGGCAGAGTTGGCTCATTATATATTACATATCATTTCTACCAGCTCTTTTTAAGTTTTGTTAGGGTTGGCTATGTATGCAGAAAGAAAATAAAACCTTAAATTTCCAACTTTCTTCTCATATAAGGGACCCCATGTGACTAGATACTGACATGTGGGTAGAAGTTGAGAGGAATTTCATATCAAGTGTCATAATTCTGGGTATATGTGTGTATGTATGTGCATGCACAGTGGGGGATGCTTGAGATAAGACTGTCTTGTCATCCATCCTTGGTTAGGACACTGGCAGATGGCTGGAGGTACAGCAAATATTTTGTTACACAAAGGGAAGCTTGAGCTAAGAAAACGGAGTTTGAACTTGGAAGACACAGAACAAACAGGAAAGGAACTACTTTAACAGCATTAACTGCCTTCCTTTGGATTTCTTTCATGTTATCAGAGGTTAATGAGTTTCTTAATGACAGCCAAATGCAGTTACTAACTGAAATAAAATATAATTGCAATACTGTGAGATATGAGGTCTGAAAGAAAGAGGTATAAAGACTTAATAGTATACATTTAAGGGCAGGACAAATACTGCCTGTGAGAAATATTTGTGAAGGTTTCACAGCAGCAATATTTGGCCAGAGCTTTTAAAAGAGAAGCTTTTAACTAGGTCAGAAAAGATCTCAATCCCAGGTACCACATGTGGCGCCAGCCCCACCCTCAGGGGAACAAAATGGGCCAAAAAAATATTCTTTTTAAAGAACATTAAAAGTTACTCACCCCAAGCAATGGCCAGATAGCTCAGCGAACTAAAGTGCCTGCTTACACAGACACTGGGAGCAGGGTTCAATCCCCGGTCTGCCGTGCCAGCCCCATGCCAAGGCATGCTGAGAGACTGAATGAGACTGGGTGTGGTGGTGCTTGGGAGGCTGAAAATAGGAGGATCACCATGTGTCTTATCTGTGTGGTACTAAATACATAAAAGAAAAGATATTCTTGCAGGCCTTTGGTGATCTAAGCGCTTGCCTGGCAAGTACAATGGACCTGGGTTCGATCCCTGCTACCACATGTGATGCTAGCTCTGGAACCCTGTGCCCGCCATGCTGCCTGAACCCAGGCGTGGTGGTGCACACCTGTAATCTCAGTGCTGGGGAGGTTGAGGAGGATCTCTATGAGTCTGAACTACGTGGTGAGACCCTACACCAAATAAATTAATAAATATTTTTAAAAAGAAATCTTTTGCTACTAAAATAATAAAGTTTTTATTGTTCATGATTGCATGGGAAGAGTCATCCGATTGGAAGTGAAGCTAATAAATCTTGCCTATCTTAAATCTGTGTGGTCAAAGATTACTAATATAAGTATTTCAGATACTGCTATTTGTGAGGTACTTACACATTTCTCAGTGTTTTTTCTTCTCCATGTTTCCATTTATTTGAATCGTGGTGCTTGTGAGGATATTAGGCAGCTGCAGCAGTGTTATGCATTAGAACTCTAGATACTATTTTAAATGTTCACTTGACCACAACATACTCATTTGAATCTAGCATCGTTTAGGTCAGTAGTTTTCAGTTAGAGATGCACACCAGATTTTTGTGTGAAATTTGATTAAAATACAGAATGCATTGGACCTGCTCCAGATTTCCTTAAACTCTTTGATTGATAATCTGTCAGTATTCTATGTATTAGTCCTATATGTTTGATATATTGCTGGCTGATAGGTTCTGGCCCTAGTATGAATTGCAAAAGTCATTATAGTGGTCATCTAATATGGCTGTAGCCCTTAAAACAAAGGACCACCTCCCCCTTCTTCTCCAACTGAGCCCAGGACATAATTTACTTTCACTCTTCCCGCCACCCTGTGGAGGACCCCCCAATCAGTTTCTCAGGTATATCTAAACATCCCCTTCAAACCCCTCCCTTGGTAAAAGGTCATAAGAGCCTCAGCCTCCCTTTGTCTAGTCCAGAGAATTTCTTATCTTCCCCAAATTCTCTCCATGTCCTCAAAGAAAATAAAGCCCCTTTCCCTTCTTCCTTCTGCCTGTTTCTCTGCTGCGCTGAGAACCTATCAGTGTCATAATATGTAATTATATTTCTGTATCATTATGTATATCTAGGTTTTATTTATAAAAATTGTGCTCATCTTTTCTTTTGTAAATTGGATATAACATTTGTTGTCTTAATTGGAAATGAGCTAAATTATTGTCCTATAAATATTTGGTCAAAAATGGTGTGAATTGGCATTATTGGTATTGTTTTGAAAATCTCACGTTCTGGCCCATTAATTTGTCCTCTAGGGGAAAAGAATTGGTAGATAATTTATCAGTAGACAAATTAAGAGAAAAAGGAACTCTGATTGAATAACTAAAATAGTGGGTTGTCTCAAAATTTTTCTTCCTTTGGTAAAATGAGACATTGGTCCTTGTTTAAGCATCGCTTCCTGGCTCCAGTGAGGATCTCTCAGCCTGCTAGCACAGATCCTTCACCCGACTGGCACAGACTTTCTACCTTGCACCACTTACCTTGGGGTCTCCCCAGTGCAGATTCAGGAAACAGGCCTGAATGAGAAATTGTCTGGGTCTTTTGGCCTCCAGTTGGCCTTTGGGAATTGTCCTTAGGTCTTCAGCTGGACTCATGCAGGACATTGGCGTGGGATTGAGGCACTCAGCCATATTCTTTGGGTCTTTAGTGTGTGGACAGATTTCCTGCACCCTTTATACTCGACTCTTGGGGTGACTATTATAAAATAATCTTATGAATTATGTGTCCCATATTAAATTGTTCCCTTTGCAAACCCTTACTCCAAGAGTAAGTAAATTAAGAGAAAAGGAACTGCAGTTCAAGCATTAAATAGTGTGTTGTCTTAAAATTTTTCTTCATTTGGTAAAATGAGAAATTGGAAATGTGTTTTCCTGAATGCTTTTAAAAATTATTCATTCATGGGCCGGGGAGATGGCTCAGTGGAATAAGCACTTCCCTGGCAAGTACAAGGGTCTGAGTTCAATCCCTGGTTCCACAAAAAAAAAGAAATAAAAATTATTCATTCAAGATTGGAACCAAAGCGCTTGTCTAGAATATAAAGAAAAGAGGAGTAGTAAGATTAAAGAACTGTATTTGACATCTAGTAAGTTGATTTAAGATGAATGAGTTATTCATTTACCACAGGGAATGTCGGATCTGCGGGAAGAAAACAGTGGGAATGGCAAAGTCTCCTTTGGGAGTCTGGGAAGGTTTCACCTGGGAGGCAGCTTCTGCTCTGGGGCTTGAAGGATTAGCACTGCAGAAATGGCAAGGCATTGCAAGCAGAGTGCATAATGTGAGCTAGTGGAAACACAGCACAAAAGATCACTACGTGCCCTGCAGCTGAGCAGCCGGGTGGCTGGACAGCAACATTCTTGAAGTGGGGTCATTGAAGGTGAGGTAGGCACTATTTTTCCCCCCACTTGGTTCGTTTTCTGCGCAGATCATTGCACCGTGCTGGGCACGCACGCTGCAGGAGCTCAGTAAATACTTAAGAGTTGAGACAAGCTGGGAGTGTGCTGGGAGCTGGGCTGCGTGGAGTCTATCTCACGCACCGCAGTGTGACCTTGGCCAACTTTTGTCTTTCTTTCGGTCGTGGCTGCTATTTAGCAACCAGGAGCGAAGAGAAAAGCGGAAGAGGAGGAAGCTGGCTTGAGGCATCAACCCTTAGACCACCCGGAGCCCCGCATCCCGCGTGCGGAAGGCGGGGCGGGCCAAGCGGGGCTGCGGCCTCAGTTCCTCCTCCGGTCCAGCAGGGGGCAGGCGGGGCGGCTCGCACGCCCTTCCTCTCCAGGCAGGCGTCCCGCGGACTGCAGCAGGCGTGGGTAGGGAGCGCAGTGGGCGGGGCCGCCGAGGCGGGGGGCGGTGCGGCGCTGAGTGGCTGGGCCGGCGGCTGCGGCGTAGGCTGCAGATCCCACCAAAGCGAGGGCTGGGGGGTTGGCGGGTGGGTGCTGTGTCCCGGAGCAGCCTCTCGGCGCGACCCCGCACTCCCTGGGCAGCCCGTGGGCCTCTGCCCCCAGCGCGTGACTGAGCTCCGGCGGGCGCACCCCGTGAGCGGCGGCAATCTCGGACAGGTTAGGTTGCGGGCAGGGGAAGGCGCGGGAGCACCGAAGGCCAGAGAAAGAGCCCAAATCAGGCCATCTCCAGCTATGTCTGACGAGGCGTCGGCCACCACTTCCTATGAGAAGTTTCTAACCCCTGAAGAACCTTTCCCGCTTCTGGGACCCCCTCGCGGCGTGGGCACCTGCCCCAGCGAGGAGCCGGGCTGCCTGGACATCAGCGATTTTGGTTGCCAGCTCTCTTCCTGCCATCGCACTGATCCGCTCCACCGCTTCCATACCAACAGGTAAGTGTGACCTGGGAGGATGGAGGTGGACTTTGCACACCCTAGCCTAGGGCGAGAGAACACCCCTCCCCCCCGTCCCGGACCTTCGCCCCTTCCCCCACCGCCCTAAGGCTAGCGCTCTTTCCAGGGCTCCTTCCTGCCCCCTCCCTGTGTTCACCGTTTGATTTTCCTTCCATTGGTGTTCTCTCAAGCTTTCTTTCCCTCATTGATCTAGTTACAGGGATTCCTTCCTTCCCTATCTTGTCCTTTTGCCCCCCCGCCCCCATCTGTACCTTGAAAATCCCAAACCACCACCTTTGATTTTTGGATGCTCTCTTGTCCGTGTATACCTGCAAAAGTTTAACCCCTTCCATTTTCAGCGCGCTATACTGTGGATTTCTAGTGGCTCAGAAACATCCGTATCTTTGGATGGGAGGCACTTTTAAAACTAGACCTTCCCTTTCCCAATTTTTAATGTTTCATGCTTCTGTCCTCCCCCCACCCCCGTTTTCTTAACAGAGCACTTGGAAACTCGTGAATAATTTTTTGGTTTTCCCCTCACTTATGAACACTGCTTAAGCGCTTTATACTTTGCCAAAGTGTTTAAGCTTAAATCTGCAAGATTCCTTCGTGTAACATGACCTTCAACTCGCCGCACCCCATAGTGGTGGGGGGTCGGGTCAAGGTTTAGAATGAGCTTGTTCACGCAGATTGATCGAGGATGCTCAACTAACCGGTTTCAACGTTCAAGGACAGTTTTCTGTTAAATTCTCTTATGCAGGCATTTAAGTTTTATGCCAAATGTTCTGGGGGATTTGAAGATGTTTCAGGTATAGCGTTAAGTTTTAACGTAAGTGGATATTTAATGTGTGTGTACAAAAGGTGAGTGCGGGGGTTAAGGGACTAGGAGAGGGATTCATCAACAGAAATACTAGAGATAAACACTCGTTCTGATTTCTCATCCAAGTTGACTGAATTTGATCAAATTCTTCCACATTTTTGTAGCTTTTACGTATTTTCCCCCTCCTTAAATCAAGCTAGATGTATTGGGTTCACAAGGAAGATATAAAACACGATTGCTATCTAACTGGAAGTTATAATCTGGGAAAAAGATGTTTTTGTTGAGTACATTCACAATACCAGGATAACACATTTCAAAAGGAAGCAGCAGTAAATTTCTTAGTGTTCCACATCTTCATTATAAAAATGAAGAAACAGGACCAAAGAGAAAAGACTGAGTTGATTGAAGATCATATAACCTATTACGAGCGAAGGCCTAGTCAGACCTAGAGTACGCTTTGGAGCCAGTGATTAAACATGGATCAGAACGAATGGACCAATGTTATTAGTTGTTCTCGTTTCTTAGGGTATTTAACAGAAGCCTAAATATGTAGAATTTAACCCAGGATGTAATAAACATGAATGTAACTTGAATGAAATAAAGTGTGTTGAAGATTATTTGGATTAAAAATATATACTTTGAATATACTTGATATTTAAGTTTTACAGTATTGGAGCAAATTGCATACCTAGGAAAGTTCAATGACTTCAGAATTGTTTTGATATTGAGGGCGTGGGAGTGGGCAGAAGAGGTTGACGTTAAGCATTGCCAAAAGAAATGGTAATGTGGAAAGAATAATCCTTACAGTTTATTTTGTTCTTCTCTGCCCAATTTTTTTCCTTTAATTTCTTCTTAAAGACTGATAATCCAAATAGTTTTCTAGAACAGGACCGGAAGGGTAGAAGAGTATGCTGTTGTTAAGCCCCAGTTTTCCTGAATAAACATTTTTCCTAGTTACTCCTCTCTTTTTTATTAAAATTTTCAATTTTAAAGAGATAAAACAATGATACAAAATTAATTTCAAAACAATGTTAATCTACATAACATTCCTATCTTGAAAGTAGTTGCTCAGATTGCAAGAGTAAGGCATGAAAAATTAACATATGCACAAACCATTCCTTTTAATGAACTAATAGAAATTAGTAGTATAATTATCTTAGCTAACATATATGTATATAATTTTTTTCCTTATCAGTTCCTTTTTGTCTCCCTTTACACCATCCCATTTTTCCTGTTTTTTTTAAGACTTTTTTTTTTTGGTGGAACCAGGGATTGAACTCAGATCCTTGTGCATGCCAGGGAAGTGCTTATTCTACCGAGCCATCTCCCCGGCCTCTTAAGACCTTTTTTTAAACCTACTTTTCACAAGGCTTGGAATAGGAGCAGGGTGTATTTTCAGTAGAAACCTGAATTGCAATATTGACAACAGGTTACGTTTCTGCCCTAAACCACCATTTATTTATTTATTTAAATTTTTTTTTTTTTTTGGCAGAACCAGTGATTGAACTTGCTTTAAATGTTTTCTTTTCAGGGAAGAATGAACAGCTAAATCATATATGGGGGTAAAGTTAATTTAGGGGCTTATTTTATTTTGGGGATGTATTGTATGTGTCACTTTTTCCGTATCATATCATTTGCCAATTCAAGTAACAGTCCAAAAATCAGATATGTGTAACTGAATAATAAAATTTTGCTTTGTATTTATAAATTTGTCATTATAAAACAAATTTTACTGAGAGAAGAAAGGTTATTAGTGGGTATGTGCAGTATTTGGTTTAACTTTATGTGTTTTGTTTATTTTTTTATGTATTTAGTGCCGGGGTTTACAGGGCCTTTTATGTAGATCGGATTTGTAGTGATCCTCTTGTTTTCAGCCTCCCAAGCACGGGGATTACAGGTGTGCACCACCATACCCAGTCTCCCTTTCGTTTTTGTTATTAGATAACAAAACAGGAAGACTTTAAATAATGCCCTTGTTAAAAGCCTCATGATGATGACTGACAATTTTTTGCCTGCCAATTTGCTGGATTTGGGGTTAATTTGCAATCTTTCTTAACCAAAAAAGCTACATTACTAATATTAATGGTCTCTGTGGTTTGAATTCATGTAATGTTCAGATTAGAACTTCCTGCCACTTAGATTTAGGGTCAGTAGAAAATAAATTACATGGATATAACCAGCTTTTTTGAGACAGTGTCTTGCTGTGTACTCCACTCTGGCTTTGAACTAGCTATATATAGCCCAGGCTGGCCTGGAACTTGTGATCCTCTGGCCTCAGCCCACTTGACTGCTTGGATTGTAGTCATCAGTGCTGCCAAGCCAAGTTACATGACCAGCTTTTAAAGAATTCATACTTTGCAGCTTCGTGAGGTAGTACACACCTGTAGCACCAGCACCAGCTACCCGAGGCTGAGGGAAGAGGACTGCTTGAGCCCAGATGTTACTTGAACCAGCCTGGGCAACACAGTGAGAAACTGGCTCAAAAAAAGATCACGTATTTCTATAGGTGTCTTTTAAAATTTTTATTGTACCACGAATCGAACTCAGGACTTTGCATTTAGCAGGCAGTCGCCTGTGCTGCTGAGCTATATCCCCAGCCTATCCTAGAATCTTATGGGTTTTGTTTGAGGTACTGGGGATCGAACTGGGGGCCTTGTGCTTCCCAAGCAGGTGCCTTAAACTGTTGAGCTATATCCCCAGCACCTAGAATTTTGTGTTCTAGTTAGGTTTGTCTAGGATTTTGGAAATACAAAATAAAGTTTAATAAGACAAAAATTAATACGCTTAAGTGTCAGTGTCACACACACGTATATATGTATATATAAGTGAGTCTGAGTGTAAGACATGGTTTTTTGGATTTAGAGACAAGATATTTCCATACACTATTGACCCGGTATGAAATAAATCATCTGAAAAATGCCAAGGCCATTTTGTGTGCATGTGCACGTTTCTGTGTGTGCCATACCAGGAACCAAACCTATGGCTTCACGAATGCTAGGGAAGCATGCTGAGAACTAAACTATGTTTAGACTCTGTTGTTTTTCTTTTGTATTGTTTACAATTTTCCTTATGTAGGGTAACAGCTGGATGTGCAGAAGAGCTTTAGTTGGAGATCAGAGAAGCATACTAAAGGAATTCGGTTTAGAGACTTGTTGGAGAAAGTTAAGAATTGGCATTAAGGCTTTGGAGAAATCCCCAGACTTGAAGTACAGTTTCTGAGCCAGGTGTAGTGGGGCACACTTGGAATCCCTGAACTTTGGCACACACTGGCAGGAAAATGGCAAGTTTGAGCCCAGCCTGGGGAATTCAGTGATGTAGCACAATCTGTCCTGAGGAGGGGAGGGTGCTAAAGATGAGAGAATATTGTAAAGAACTCAGAAGCCTAAATGGGAAAAATGACATAAAACATTTCTTTACTTCCAAAAACAGTACAGGAGGTAGAAAAGATGGCTCATGATCAGAAGACAAGTGAAGTACCTGGAAGGAGAACAGAGTCTTGGTGGGTGGAGCAGCAGGGTGTATCATCTGCTCTACATTGAAACCTTGATTTGCCTGTTGGACTCTAGAGGAGGTCAGGATGGCTATGTGGGGATTCTGGTAAGAGGTCAGTGATGAATACAAGTTATGACTGGGTCAGTCCCCTAAGAATGAATGTGTAGCACAGATTTGGAGTAATTTTACTCGGCTTGACTGTTAGGACTTTATTCAGAAGTGCTCATTGGCTGGATTCACATGCAGAGAGGCAGTTGTTAGGTCCAGTTGTAATGGGAAGGAGCTGCAGAGAAATGTGTATATCATATTCATGCTTTTCTTAATTTTAACAGTAAAGTGGCTGCTTATGAAAATACTACTGAAAGTCCCTAGGCTGTGTTTTCTTCCTAAAAAGCCTTGCAAGGAAGTGTTTGCTTTACTTTTTAAATTAAAATTTAGGCAACAAGCCTAGTTATTGAATCTTTTTTTGGGGGGGGGGCGGTACCAGAGATTGAACTCAGGACCCACACTTGCCAGGCAGGCACTTATTCTACTGAGCTATCTCCCTGGCCCCAAGCCTAATTATTGAGTTAAATAACATTTTGTTTGGGGTGTTGGTGAATATTTTTCTTTTTTCTTTTTGGTGGAACTGGGGATTGAACTCAGGCCCTTGCACTTTTATTCTACTGAGCCATCTCCCCGGCCCCAA